ATCTATTCTGCCTGTGCTCTCCAGCTGATCACTAAACGGGCAGTGTGGTCAGATTTTCACCCACACAATTCCAAAATAACCCATTATATTATAAAGCGTGTGTTGTTTATTTTTAAATCGTGCACTTACTCTATACTCCACTTTATGTTGTCTATGTACCTTTAAATGCCTCTATTATTTTATTTTGTATGCTTCAATTTGTGGATTGCTACTCCCTAAAATGGTCTCCCACCTTTGTTTTTAAGAATCCTCGTTTTTTTTTTTTTTTTTGGTTATAGAAAAATTCTCCCTATTCTCCTGTAGGTCTAAGGCAACACTCCTTATAGAGATTACTAGGGTGTCCTGTTAGCCGTTCCGCGCGAGGAGACTATAACCTGGGAACTTGCCCCGAGACAAACTCCGCTTAAATCAGGACTCGCGCAGCGAGTGAATATTGAACCCACACCAAATACTAATGAGACAACTTGAAATCCAACCTCCTAACCAACCTCCATAGTCAACATCTCTCCCAACTATACTCTTCTTCTTTGCATCCTCCATAGTCAGCATCCCTATCAACTCCAGTCAAGGATGTCAATTTGCTCTGTCCCATCCCTGCTTCCTTATCCCGATTTATTGTATTTTTTTTGCTCCCATAAGAAAACGGATTAACTCTAGTCAGGGATGTCAATTTGCTCTGTCCCATCCCTGCTTCCTTACCTCGATTTATTGTATTTTTTTTACTCCCATAAGAAAACAAACAAGGAATAATTTTCACCGTACATACTCTATTTTCACTGTTTCCGCCCCTATTATATTAAATTCATAACATTTATAATTACATATAATTTAAAATTTAAATCACATTGATTTGACCAATAATAATTGTACATCTTTTATTTTTTATTTTGAATAACTTTACATTTTTTTATTTTTTTATTTTGACTTTCAAAAATCTTGATTGGTGTTATTTTATTTGAAAGTAAATTACATTTACACCCCTTGAAATTTGGATTTAATACATATTATCTTTTGATGTTTGAGAAATTACACTAACCTCCTATCGTTGTAATTATTTAGATGGAATTAACGTTGGTATCAAAAATACATTGAATTCATATACTTTTTCATTTTTTGCTTTGCTTTACTTTTTCTAGTTTTTTCTTTTTCTTTTTCTTTCATTTGCTTTACTTTTTCTTGTCAATGTAATTTCTTCTATTTTTCTATCAAAAGTTAGGAAAATTTACCCATAAGTCCTAGTTTTTGAAGCGTTGAACCATTTAGTCCTAAAAGTTTTCTTATGCTCCATTTAGTCCCATTTTTACAGCAACATGATGTGAATGATGTAAATGATCTGATATTTCATTCTATAATTTCAAAATTTATTGAAATTTGATGAACATTAGATGTTTTTCATCCTATATTTTCAAACATTATTGAAATTTGATGAACATTAGATGTTTGAAATCCAATGTTTGTAACATGACTCTGATGTTATTAACATTGTAATGGGACCTTTCAGTCTATAAGAAAACTTTTAGAACTAAACAGTGCATAAGTTATTAATTTGAGATTTATTGGTGCATCCCCCCAAAAGTTATTGCATTTTATATAAGCAAAAGGTTTGTGAAATGATATTATTAATCACAAGGATAGAAATGTAATTTTCTAAATGTCAAGGGATGATATGTATTAAATTCAAATCCCAGGGGGTGTTAGTGCAATTTACCCTTAATTGGAAGTCGAGTTTTTAAAGAAAAAAATAAAATTAAAGGCTTGTTTACATTTGATTTCTTAGTGATTTTTTTGTTCTAATTTTTTTACAAAGTGAAAAAAGTTGATATGTTTGAAAATAATTATTTAAGTTGTATGAAAAAACACTTGAACAACTAGTGTGTTTAACTTCTTTTTTTAATAACGTTTTATTTTTTAGCTTTTTTTTTTTTGATTTGTTTAGTAATCATTTTTGTCCATTCTTTTAGTGATAATTAGTGTTGAACTTTTTTTTCTTTTCTTTTTTTTTGTCTTTAATGATCTTTTTTCAAAGTTATATCAAATTTTTTTAATTTTTAAATCCGTCTTGTGTAGGCTAAATAAAAAAGTAAAACTAAAAAAAAAAGCCAAAAATAACTAACTTTTAAAAAGATAAAAAAAATTTAAACAACCCAAAAATATGTTTTTCAAAATTTTTTAAAAAAAAAATCACTAAAAATAAAAAATAATAATAATAAAATAAAGGATAAATTACATTTATATCCCTTGAGGTTTCTGACAAATACATGGATCTCTCCTGTGGTTTGAATAATTACAATAACCTCCCCTGCTTTACCTGACAAACGACCCAAAAATATGTTTTTCAAAATTTTTTTTAAAAAAATCACTAAAAATAAAAAATAATAATAATAAAATAAAGGATAAATTACATTTACATCCCTTGAGGTTTCTGACAAATACATGGATCTCTCCTGTGGTTTGAATAATTACAATAACCTCCCCTGTTTTACCTGACAATGTCAATATTTCTCCAAAATTTGACAGCTGTTTATACACCTAACAGACCTTGCTGATATTATCAAATGTAAGCACTAAAATGCCCATAATGCCCATAATACACTAAAATGACAATTCAAGAATTTTCCACAAAACCCAAGTTGCTCCTCTCAAAGCCACCAGAAATTATTAAAACCTAGCCCAATCCTCCCAATCCAAACCCTATCTTCCGTAAACGAGATTAGATCAGATGAAGAAGACATAGAGGAACAAAAGCCCCCACAAACCCGGTTCATCCCCAGTTTGCTGCCGTTCTTGCCGGTTCGCCCCGATTCGCGCCCTCATTTCCCTCTCTCTCTGCACCCTCTTTCTCTATTTCGACAGAGACGACATACCTACCTCGAAAAACCTCATCTTAGCCCTGATTTTCATCGCCATCGCTATCTTCTTCACTGGCAAAAACAAGGGTTTGACTCACCAAAGCTTTGTGATTCTCTCCAAGCGACTTGGGTTCTCGCAGAACAACCACAAACCAGTCCAATGGCTCATCGGGTAGTCGATTTTGTCGAAAAAAGACCGAAAATCGAAGCGAATGGTAAGAGAAGGGGTTGAATTTTACAGAAATGGTGATTTCTATGAAGAGGAGGTGTAATGGGAGTGAACTGTACAATTTCTTTGTGAATGAGAGGTATGAGGGAGATTGGGTTGATGAGAGGTATGATAGGTATCAGATTGAGAGCTAGGCTAGAGGTAGTCGGTTTCGAGGATAGTATCGACGAGGTCTCTAACATGGTTATGGAGTTTATAGGTTTTATACAGGGGATGCTTATGTAAAGGAGTGGTGTAATGGGCAAAGCTTATGCAGGGGAGTGGTGTAATGGGCAAAGCCATGGTGTTAGAATGCAGAGTTGCTCCGATGGAAGCAGTTATGTTGGTGAATTAAGTGTGGAGTCAAATGTTGTCGATTTATGAAAAAGTAAGGGTAATATGGTCATTTTCTATATGATACTAACATTGTTTGTGCAAAATAGACGGAATGTGAGAATCTTGACATTGTCAGGTAAAATAGGGGAGGTTACTGTAATTATTCAAACCATAGGGGAGGTCTCTGCATTTGTCAAAAACCTTAGCGGAGGTAAATGTAATTTACCCTAAAATAAACTATATATAAAAAAATAAATTAAAAAAACACTAAAAACATCAACGCAAATACCCACTCAATTTATTATAGTAAATGAGATTTTAATATAATTATCTTTTATAAAAAAAAATTTCCCATAAATTTCAATTTGATGTTACATAGTTAAATTTTATTGTCCCCTTTTGAATGAGACAAATTATCTCAATAATTCTCCAACCCCCGCCTCGGCCCCATCCCCAATATTTCCCAACTTGTCCTTGCCCCCAACAAATTAGGAGACATGAATGGGGACTACAAACCTATCTTGTGGCTCCCTTTTGTTATTCCTATCCGGTAGTGCAACATACATCAATTAATATATAACTAGTGTTATGTCATTATTACTGAACTCATATATTATACAAATTATAAATATTCAAAACCTCGAAAATTATGCCACATCATCTGTTAATATATTAGTTAGTATATTAATTGATACATATAGCATTATTCATTCCTACCTCCAGCGCTCCTTACCTCTACCCAACCCCTTCCCTTCTGGTAGACCCTCATTTGCCTTTCCCTTTCTCCAACACCACTTCCTAACTCCTCCCAATCATTCTTCCCACCTCTGATGTTGTCCTCAGCCCTTCTCACCTCCAAGGCCACCCTTGCGTAGAGACTCTGCAACCTATCCTTGCAACCCCGAGCCCCTCTTTTGTGGGAATGACGGCAGAGTGGTGGCAGAGAAAGGCTTGGGATGTTGCAATTTATCCTATTTTATTACTTGTTTATTATTATACTAGCCGCTATCGCTCCTCTAATCTCCATCATCCCTCTAATCTCCATCATCGGCTTGCCACCAAAGAAACTATCAAATCTTTATTCAAATTTGATTCTTGACTGAGATTTAGACACGCTTTTATACACTATGCGACCACTTTAGATCCAAAATATTTTATTTTGTAATATAAAGGTGGAGATTAAGATACCACAACTACCAATTGTAATGATGAATAAATCGTGAAAGTGATTGGTAATGTTTGTTTTGTATTTTTTTTTTTGGCAATAATATCTCTCTATGTAGAAGTTTTCTCCTCCATTCATGGAGGCTTTTTCCTTGCTGCATGGAGTTTTATTTTTCTCCTTATGTGGAGACTCATTCTCCTTGCGTAGATATTTTCTTTATCCTTTTTCAAATCTATTTTAAACTCCAATGTACTTAATTCTCCTTTTTCAAATCTATTTTAAACTCCAATGTACTTTATATTAAGCCACGTATTTTCCCATAAAAAAGTATTATTATTTGCTCACATGAAGAATATTAGCCCAAGTATACTACAACAAAATTTACTTACTTCAAGCAAAAATAACAGTAACATCCCTGCAGAAATTATGAATACTGACTGTGTAATGCTCAACACAGAACAAGCCATGAAGGGTATAATATTAAACAACTTTACAAAGAGTTTTACAGAAGAATGTGAAATACAGAGTGTATATATTTAATTAATAAATAACTATTTCCAAGCTCAACCTGTCAGAGAAAAGCATTTGAGATAAGGATCTGCCAGACCATATGCATGATCATGCAGTGAAAATGTTCCCGGGACCACCCCGGTACTACCAATGCTGGGTATTTACTGTCTATATGCACTGAAATTTGATTTCATATCTTAAATTCATCATATGCCGAAAAACCGGTATGATACATTGGAGGGTATATGCTTTTGTTGTTCAGTGTGATATATGAATGAGATGCAATGCATCCTACAAAACAATGTGGGTTTTTTCAAGACCCAATTTTGATTCAAATTGTTGGAAAAAGCCAAAAATCTCAAAGTCTCATCTTTTTGAAGCAGTGGTACCTTTTTTTTCCTCACATCATGTACCTGTGCGATTTGTATCAACTATATCGAAGTGACAAGTAGAAGTCGATCAAAATCTTGTGTTTTTTCCCATTTGGAAAGATTTGGTTTAACTTGAGTTCAAATTCGGTATGAAGCCTTTGGCGTGTTGGCTCTCCATTTCAAGGTCCATCAGTGATTTCTGCCTAACATATCTGTTCCTTTTTGCAGCAAGTGCTGAAAACAAACCCAAAAAAAAAGAAGAAAAAAAAAAAAGAAACATTAACATATTAATTAAGAAATTGACGTTGCAAACAAATATAAAGAGAAATGTGTTTTGTGAGTAGTAAATAATCGAGCAATCATTGAAATTGATGCCTGCATGTACAATGTATGGTTATGCAAAAAAAATACGACATTAAACAGAATGATGGCAAAGAGCTCCCAACACACAAAATCCATCTGATATTTATTTTAGAAATTATATCCTATTATCTTCCAAACAGAGAAATACAAGTGCAGACGAGTCCGAATTGAGTCATTCCTTCGGTTTATTGCAAGGATCACTTGATAGTCCTACCCATTAGCCTGAACAAAAGTACGCTTTTAAGAAGCAGAAGTGGAAAAAAACTAAAGTCCAGCTATGGTGGCAACTTAAACAGAAGAAAGGCATATGACAATCTAGGAACTAACATTACAAGGAATTTTGCTCACTGCTCACCATCCAAAATCTTGACTTTTAATCCCAACTTAAACAAGTAAAAAGTTGTATGATCGAGCAATGCTAGGATAGGAATACAAAATGGATTGCAGAATGGTCCACAGAAAATGCAATGGATGGCTGAGATTACACCCAGTTATGGTGGGGTCCATATTCAAAATAAATCTCAATCTGTCAATACACTTTCTGTGATCCATGCCTCCAGTGTGCTCTAAAGCCATGTTGTCAAAGTAATGTCAAATTTCAGCAGACTAGCGATTTAAATCGATAAGTTGTTGCAATTAATAGTGAACTTGTGGAAAGTGTCTTTTTCTATCCTAATAAAGAACTAAATGCAGCAGATGGTAGGGCAATCAGACGATAGCAAAATATAACACCCAAACAAATACAGTACATAAAATAGGATCAGGAAATGAAAAACGGGTAGGTAACTCTTAACAAATACACACTTACCCATCAACTCTTGAGGAAAACCAAACTCATAATCATTACGCCCCCTCCGGATGAAGCATATGTATATCACTAACAAAAGAATGCAAAATGTGACCACAGATGATATTCCTACTGCAATTTTGCCACCAGTGGATAAGAGAGGACAGTCTGGCAAAGAAGGTACACCACACAAGCCTTTATTGCCATGGAGACTGTGAAAGACAAAAATGAAATCACATCAGAAAAGTGGAAATGAACAACAAATGGTAAATCCAAATTTCCAAAATACTTCGGTAAGAACAGCACATGTAGCTGGCAATTATTAAAACACTAAATTTATCACATTGAAAAAATTGCTAAAACTATTTAAATTGTATTTCACAAATATTACAAACACCCAATATTGATCAAAGTTGCAAAATGTGTGCCCTTTAAAGCTCATTCTCTACGGCATTGCGACAGTTTCGGAGGTGATACATCTCCCAATTTGATCTGTTCGTAAGCAATCTCAAGATAAAAATAGCCTCAGATAGAACTCAGCAGCCAATAAGAATAGGTGCAATCAAACTCCCAATCCCAAGTAGTTGGGAATTAATGTTTGTTCAGTTTCAGACCACTACATGTGATTTTCTAGCAACTTTTACACATCTTTCATCACTTGACTGAGTTGGTTTTTGAAAGTAATTTTTTGGTATAAGAATATAAGATATTCAAACTCTATTAATGAGATAATCCCTGACACTTCTTAACCATCCATTGAAGACAAAGATCACAGATTTGGTCAATACAATGAGCAAGCACACCCACAAGTTCATGTATTCGACACCGTGAACTCAATTATGGTTGGTTTGTAAATTGCAACTTGTACTTTGTTCTTTATAGTTGATTGGTTGGCTAGACTGTGGTCCTGTGGTCTTTACCAGTTGGGTTTTTCACATAAAACACCGGGAGTTTCTTTGTGTGCGCTAGAATTACTATTTATGCTTGCAATTTAAAAAATGTGATTAAATTAACTAACCATACAACACCAAAGAAAATCCATATCAATGAACACATCAACGAATCTGTTTTTTAAATTAGTATAATAGTATACTGATTTTTCATTTACCACTGCGAAAATATGTACATGAAAACCATTAGTATTTAAACAAAACTTCAACAAGTAGAATAGATCCCCAAGAAGCACCAAGAATGTTTGAAGAAGAAATAAGAGCAGGAGAAGGACAATGGAAAAAAGAAGACAGCAACGGGCAAAATGAAAGTCAATAGAGCCTCTCTCTCTCTCTCTCACATACACACACGCGCGCGCGCTCTTAATTCGTATAAACATTAGGTAAACGTATTGTATATGTTGTAGATTACAAGATTCCACAAATTCTTCAAAACCAACAAAAAGCAAACCAAGCAGAAAATTAATAAATCCAGCAATTAAAGTACTACTTACTCAATAGATCCACCATGGACACCAACTGAATAAAGTTCTTCTGGTACTCGTCCTTCCAGTAAGTTGTCATTCAATAGCCTGAAATGTGGGTAAGTGTGTATTACTGTTGTGGATCAAAAAGGGCTATCACATGACATTTAATTTAACGCTCAAATCAAGTTATATGATTAGCAGAATATATAAGTAACAGGTATCACTTGAGTTCAAGTTCAGTTGGACAAGTCATTTACTCATTTTCTGCTTCTTGCTTCATCTTTTCAGAAATTAGGTAGTTCAAAAGTTCATAGAAAAAGTGTTATGTTAAATTGGTAATCCATAAAAAAAACTACTAGAAAAAATTAGTAATGGTGTCTTTGAATATACTTTAAAAAATTATTACTACATAAGAGCACAGGCATTGAACTTACACAAGCTGCAAATTTGAAGAAGCAAGACTATCTGGTATGGACCCGGTAAACCGATTGTTCGACAAATCCCTACACCAAATGATGTGAAAACAATAAGTAAAGATGACAGAAATGTGAAGACATGGATCTAATAGGTGTGCCACTACTTGTTATAGTATTAGGAAAACACCTTGCTGCTGGAAGGGGCTGGACATTGAAACATATTAACAAATAAAATGAAAAAGACCAATATAATACATGAGAGTTTTAATCTAAGTGAGTATAAGAAAAATCAGATATTCATCAATTGATGAATCAAAGATAATAGTTGAAATCCATCCACTTGGCAGCGGAAATTTCAAAAGAGATGTTCAGGTGAGGGACATTGGTGCTCAACTCATTGATGTTCTTCTAAAGAAGTAATGCAATGTAAGTTATAAGAGTACACTAGTAAGGGGACATAGCAATCCTAAAGCACTAAGAGTTTGTAACCTTACAGCTTTATAAGAGACTTTTGACCCAGGCCCAAGGGTAGAGTACCTCCCAAAAAGTTCGTACTTAAGTTCCTGCAGTTGAAAAAAAAATGTTTCCAAATGAGAAGTGCACAAAATTAACGTCCAGAGAAGCAAAGTAGCATGCATTTGAATAAAGTTTGACACAGCAAAGGAAGAACCATAGATGCAAGTCGAAGAAAAAAAATTTTTAAGGCTAGTTATAGAGAAAAAAGAAATCGCTAAGAACAATATTTACACTGAAGCAATCAAATAAAAAGGTTTATGGAATTCTAAAAGAAATGTAAGAAACAATCGGTAACTCTTATTATATATATCAACCAATTGTTTGACAAGTATGCAAAACCAAACAGATTCAATTGAGTGAATATCCCAATCTGAGTTGTTTTCACTCAACTTGAAGATCATTTCATATTTCCAGTCTTCAAAATTTTATCATTAATGACTCAAACAAATTGTTTATTTGTGGGATAACTAGTTGTAGACAAGGTTTTATTAGTATTACTTTCTTTCTAATAGTAAGTGACGAGAATTCACATGAAGCATATCCTTCTCCATACCACTGAGGCCAAGAAAGCATGAAAAGATGAAACACCCTGTATAGTTTCTCTTCTTTTTTTCCCTTTTTTCTCCCACTTTCATTTGTGTCATAGCCAAGCTAAGAAAAGTAGGTATTAATTTTCATGTATTTACGGCAATAACCAATTCCAAGTCGACTAGACTCAATACATTACAACTAACAAGATATTGTTGAAATTCCTAATATAACAGTCGTTCACATATAATTTTATTGAAACCAAACAAAACAAAAACAAAAACAAAAATTTTAAATGCCTCTTAGATTATACACTGTTTCTTATGACATCCCCCAAACCTCATGCGGAGTAAAACCTACATCTACTTGTAACCAATCACAGAAGCAAAGAGTAGAGTAAATCGTCTGCATGCCCTAATTGTTGATAATATATAGCCCATGTTGATGAAATAAAGTAACAAGTTGTACTTCTTTCATCAACTAAAGCTTAGACTGTCAACATAGTATTAGATTTTGAAGATCCTATGCTCAAATTTCAGCACCGCCATTATAATATGATCATCAAAATGTACGGCCCCTCATAAAGGGAATCCGATACATGTACGGGGACAAAGGACATTCCTTAATGTTGCTCCATTTAATTGAGGCTGGAGGATAAGACTAGATGTTAGCTTAACAATTGCATTATTTGGACATGAACCCAACTTTGCATTATAAGGCCAAGGTGATCTCTGTCATACCTAACTTTACATGTAGGGGGCATTTCTATGAAATGAATTAACAATTTAACAGTGTCCTCCAACAGGTTAGGCTTTTACAACAATCAGTCTTTAATAATTTAAAGCCTTATCACACCAAACTATTCTCGTGTAGATAAGCACATGGAAACTGAATGTTTAATACCAAGAGGCTAGACAAATACTTTATATTAATTTCACTCACGTAACACACTAGTTGATGGTCAACAATAAGAGAATTTAGAATTAGAAGATTTGGAACAAGAAAGACTATTGATGTTCAATATAACTTCAAGCAAACAAGGGAACATTGAACATTGATAATCATGTAATACCCAAGGGTGGAAATTAAAGATATCCTTGTCCCCATAAATAGGGTGAGCATGGAAGGGGTAGTCTGGCCATGATTTCTGAACAAAATGTCACACCATAGAGAAAAATGTTACCAAAATGACAATATTTAAAATCAGAACATGAGATCGGCAAGGATAAAAGACGGAGGTAGCATTGATTGAGGACAAATGAAAGCAAACCAAATGAGATGGTTTAGTTATGTACAACTAGAACCAATGACAGCATCTTAGGATGTGATGTACTTTCAGTTGAAGGCACTGGAAGAACAATAGAAAGCCAAAAGTAATCAGGTCACTTGTGAAGTTTCATGAAAACAGACTGCCAATGGTAGGCTTAGACATCACAATTTAAGTGGCCCTAGATAAAGCAAAATGGAAGAAATGGTTAAGTTTAGCATTCTCGAAACAGATGGAATAAGGCTGTTCTTAGTTCACTTCTATAACAAAGTCTATTAGTCATCATATTCGGCTGAAAACATCACCAAGCCAATGCACACAAGGAGTTGTCACCCACTTAGGAACAAAATTTCATTTCTTTTCCAAAGAAACAACGTTTCCTAAAAAACTGAAACAAAACATTATTGGAATATTGGAATTCCAATATTTTGCACCAAAATATACTGAAACACACCAAAACTCTACAAAACATACGGAAACAATAAGCTGTTTGGACACTTATTAAAAATATTTAATAATGCTCATTTCTATTTGCCAATTTTTATCAAAAGAAAAATTCAAAAATAAATACAAGTACTAAATTTAATAAAGAACCTAAGAAACTAGATAGGAGAAGAGGAGAAAATAAAACTAACATGTTTAAGTCATTTTTTCCATTCCTATAATTTTGCATTTTTGAATGTTTTTTTTCCTTAAAATGGCAAACCTCTTCCTTGACTAAGGCTTTAACAGGATTAATAGTGAAATGATTAATAATCTCATGAATTAGTGTAAGATTAGTTATCCAATTAAATTAATGAGATAACCATTTACTATTTTTTTATTTTTTATTTTTTTCCTTTCATACTTAAAATTATGATCCCCCCAACCCCTCTCAATATTAAAAATCCGTCAACTTCGTCGGATTGAATGTCTGCCGTACATGTAATCCAGCTAATAAGATTTGCCATCAAACATGGGATTGTGAGTCCATGGACTAACAATCTCAATCCTATACTATAATCATACTAATCAAACATGCCCTAAACTTTTTATTTTTATGACCTTCACTACTTATAGACATTAACATGTTCAATTATTTAATTATTGAGATTGTATTAACATTTATATTCCAACATTTTCAATTTTTTTTCCTCATTCCCTTTGTGTTTCCAATACAATTCTGAAAATTTTTCCAATACAATTCTGTTTCCAAGCTAACCAAAACAACATACAAAAATGAAATTTCGATCCTTGATTAGGAAATCATGTCATACAACCAAAAAGTGAGTGCCATTTAACCACCCAGCACCTTAAAGCACCAAGTCACCATAAAATAGGCAGCCACCAAATATAGGCACCTTTCACAACAAACTCTCATTTTACTTATCTCTCCATATATATATTGACAAACAATCACAACATAAATGGATTTATCTCTTGATAAGTAGAAGCTGTGTGCTAACTATCTGACCAAGTTTATTTTTAAATATTATTAAAAGCATAACAAGTTGATAGATGGTACTTACAAGCTTACCAAGTTTGATAAAAGACCAATCTGGTCACTAATATACCCTTTCAAGCCTCGACTCCCAAGATCTCTGTGGAAAAACAAATAAATACATCAGATAAACAATGGGTCTGGTCTCCCATTGAAGCTCATAAAAAATAAATCAAAGGGAAAAGGAAAAAAAAAAAATACATTAAAATGCTGGAAATAATTTGTTCAAATCCTTCAGTGAAATCCATTAGTAAATCGTTGTGTCCCAATGTTTTGAAATGTTCCAAAAACAGACTTAAGTTTATCATTTGGTAAATATGATACACAAAGACCATATTTGCTTTATGAAGGCCAAAAATAACCATACAAATTTATGAAAAGAGCAACTAATGCTTTTTTTATTTTTAAATTAACATGAACACACTACTAAAATGAAATTAATGGGCAGATAAATGATGCCATTACTGTATAGGTTTGTGCATGCAATTCAAGAACTATGAAGTAGGTGTACGGGCACTTGTACAGTACAGGTACATCAATCATTAGAATCAAGGGTACGAGTACGGTTTTGGAGAAATGCAAAAATTAGATAAATGGTTTATTTGGTTAAGGATCCAACATACAAATCACATTTTAATGCCAAGACCAATGTATAAACCAAAGTCAAATGTCATTATATTAAAAAACCTACCAAAAAAAAAAAGGCTTAATTTCAAAATCATGTTAAGCATTGAAAAAAGTCAAATGAAACTAACTTCACCTTTGTATAAGAGAAAATACTATTCTGGCTAAAGTATGGCTTGAGTATATACTAAGCACCTCTGAGGTACGGAAAAAATTAAGAATCAAAATTTTGGATACGTGTTTTGAATATCCAGTTCATATACAAAAGTACCATGCAAAGTACGAATACCCAAACTACATCATGTTTTTCAAAGTACCCATTCTTCATAGTGCAAGAATATACTTGATGTCTTGGGAGGTATATAGCTACATAAATCATTTATATATTTTCTTATGTTCATAATCATCTTTGTTCCAAACTTATATTCAAGAAAAAGAGGGAAGCAAAAAAGACAAATGAATCCTTCATGACTATTCTTGAATTCCAATTTATACACGTTTCATACATTCAAGTTAGTTATTGTCTAAAGTTTCTTGGCTAATAATAAAATTCAAAATGGTCTATGCCAAAATTCACATTATAACAAAGTAATGTATTAAAATTTAACAGGTATTAATGGCATCACGTATTGCGCATCCTAAATCAAAATCCACCTTCCAACAAAATTGAATGAAAAGAGCTGTGGAGAGACACTGGTGTGGCACTTGCCAAGGCTTCTTTAATGCTCGAGTCAGTGAAATGATTTTGAACTGTATTATATAAATATATTCAATAATAGGAATGCAAGAAGAGTAAACTACCTTTTGTCAATGGATGTCGAAGAATGTAGTTAGTTAGGGGTAACAATTGCTGGATTTTAGTGAATAGCCAATCTCATGGCTCAAATTAAGGGGTGAGGGATCATATGCGTGATTTTAGGGAGAGGAGTTACCCTTCCCTCGCTTTGGTGTTCAGTTAGTTGTTTGGCCGCAATGGCCAAGCATTCTTCTGAGCAGTGACTCAGCTCACACCTCATCCAAGCCGAGCGCTTATACTCGAGCCGTGTTGAATCTGGTCACTTCGATGCCCATCACCAACAAATCAAGTATACAGTAACAGTTAGTTTCTTTTTATACCCAAGCATAGGTATCACGATTGTAAAGCATTGAGCATACAAGTTTTACATTCTTATCAACTATGAATGGTATCAAACTATCAACTACGTGGAGGGATGAGCTTGGTGGAGTTTCCTTTCATCTAATAACCTTTTGAAAAACACAATTAGTGCTTCAGAATTTTTTCCCTTCTCTTTATGTTGTTCATACAAACCAATTTCCAAGTGAACTTGAGAAATGTACAGGCCCAAGAGCATATTCTCAACCTTCTCAAGCTTGTCAAGGTTTTCTTTGTTTGAGTTATCCATCACGGCCTCATCATGTTTTAAGTTTTCATACTAGATTTGGAGATAGTTGCCGGGAAATAAGAGCCTTTGAAAAAAAAAGTTGTATACATCAAAGATAGCTTCCATTGCAGTCTAGAAAACATTAATTAAGGGGTGGTTTTCTTTGGCCCATAAACCAAAGGACCAATCCCCATGTTTGGCCATGTTTGACTTCAAATTTTTTATCCTTCCTTAATGATAGCCAAGAAGAAAACAAAAAAACTGTCAAAATCCAATATTGTTTGGGCTTGAGAAGATGTTGACCTTTATTCATCTTCTTGACACCTCTTCTATTGAAAGCATTATAGGATTGTTCGCAACAACCCCACCATCAACCAAGCTGGATTTCTCGATTCCTTTGGATTACTAGATCTCTAAGTGATATGGAGGGAGAAAGTAAGGTGAAAATATTAAAAAATTCACATGGCTTAATCACCATCCAATTGTTTAGGACAAGTAAATTTTCTTGATTAATCAAATTCAAGATGGTCAAAGTCTCCAAAGTGATGTGGGTCTCACCAAAATTATAGGGCACAACCCATTTCAAAATATGGGTCACATCAAAAGAAAAGTGTCAACCCATTTTGGCAGTAGGATTAAACAAGTGGTTCAACTCAAAGATACAAGCCCACAAGGACACTTGTTAGAATCTCCCAAGAAGTCAGAAATTGTGGGAAAACCATGGGCCATGTTGGGAATCATGGAACTAAGATGACACGAGACCACCAGAGGTAACAAGGGAGAGAGCTAAAGCAGACTTAGAGTAGAGAGAAAGAGTAGCAATGAGAAAGATAGCTTCTAATGCATGGAGTGGAGGAGCTCTATGTGAAATTGCTTCATATAGAGGGGAAGACGTCCTTTTATAATAGGTTGGGTCATGGGGCCCCATTCAGTCTCATAGACTATATTGAGTAGAAGTGATACACTTACAAGGTTCCATATTGGTTAGTTGTGAAACACTTTCCAAAGTATCAAAGGACTTCGTCAATCTTGGTATTTAAGCAAAGTCCTCTCTCATATGTAAGATTGCTCAAAGTGGGATCACCCCAAGAGAGTGCTGGGCAACTTTGACGATCCCTTAGTAGTAGCATCGATCCACAAGTCTACATCAAGCATCCCATGACTGAGGCACCTACCCCGATGGGATCCCAAGGCCTTACAACAGTGATGTGCGTGATGCTTAAGTGAGAGGCATATGGCACCTAGCGACAGTGGTGAGCATCAAGTATGGTGTTGAGGTAATGTTGTTAAGGCAAGATTCATGCCTCAGGATGGTACAACCAAACCTCTTGGGTGCAGGGGTGTTGGCCACATGGGACACAACTAACCACAATGGGCATCAAACTGGCCAAATGCAACATGACTTGACCATGACCGCTTAGTCCAGAAGAAGAGTAAGAGAGTCTCTACTCAAAAGAGCGCTTGGCAGTTGAGGCCAAACAACTAACTTGAACACTGGAAGTAAAAATAACCACTCTCCCTTAAATCATGCCTAAGATCCCTCTTCGTTAATTTGAGCCACGGGATCAGCATAATCATTAAAAACAAGAGATTTATACCTCTAACTAACCGCAATTGTCAACCCTATAAAAGAAGAGGCACCCATTGACAAAAGGTTTTGACTCTTTATGAATTTCATATATTGAATATATACATTTCTGTGACTTGAGTATTGAAGAAATATTAACCAGCAGCAGCACCACACCGTTGTCCCTCCACAACTCTTTTCATTCAAGTTTACAAGAAGTATATTTCGATTCAGGCCATGCAGTACGTGACACCATCAGGGACCAACACTGGTTGATGTCCTTGTTTCGTCTGTTCAAAATTTATATGCCATTTCTTGATCTAGTTACACAGGCTTCTCCAAAGAAAATAGCTTAGTAATGTCACTATCAGGTCCCAAATGCTGTTATAGTATCTACCTAAACAAGTTGGCTTTTCAGTAAAAACTTATGGTATAATTTTTCAAACTCTCAGCTGCAACCTAATGAATGCAAATACATAATAAAGGAGAAGGCAGTGCTTACATTTGAGAGATCACAAGGGATAGTTTGTCCTTACTGGGATAGCAAGTAACACCTTCCCAAGCATCCCAGTTAGTAGGAGCACAAGGGTCACCATTCCAACCCATTCTATCTGGTACACGAAGTGACTCTTTCAAAGCTCTCATAGCAACCACTGCAAAAAAACAGGCCCAATTACCACACACCACAATTGGAACAAACACATTCTATGCTAAGATTGGTGTTTTCTTTCGTGCTCCTTATTAAGCTTTCGTGCTCCTTATTAAGCCTAAAGATAATTGAGATGAAAGAAAAGACAACAAAGTTGTTTAGTCCCTGTTTTCTATTGCTAAAACTTTGTTGTCTATTGCTTTTGTTTCTTGAGGCTGCATTTGGATGGAATGAAGGGGTTAAAAGAGGCTTAGCTAGTGTCATATAGAAATACTTAAATGGGATGATTAAATAGAGGTAGGTGCGATACCTTTTGGGAGAAATCATTATTTAAATTAATAATCTAGCTTTTTAACATTAAATTGGCCTTACAAATATTTAAATGATTAATGACAAATCCATAAGTTTGAAATCCATAATTCCAAATGCAACCTAAAATTTTTATCTTTGGCAAATGACAATAATTTTATTAGGCTCATGTTTATTTTTAATTTTTCTGACATTAGGTATCAAATAAATAACTTAAGACTTTAAACTTTCATTGTGCTTTAAACAAAAGGAAATAATATTTGTATTCACCCAACAAGAAATGCCCAACAGCTAGTTTCCTACGTTTTCTCAACAACCAAACAAGTCAAAAACACAATTGCAAAAACATATGTAATTATAATTTGGGTTAATTTCACATTTATCCCTTAAACTATTATTAACTTCTTCTATTTAGTCCAAAAGTTTCTGATTTCTGTCCACGTGGACAATTGTACAAATCAATAATCCTTAAATCCTAATTTGATGGGCAAAAAAGATAATTTTATAATTTAAACAACTTACATCATACAAACAAACACCCATTAAATTGGTTGTGTGTGGTTTGTTTAACAAAATAAGAAAAACAAGTGTTCTATTGTATTATTTAAATTGCTCAAATTCTAAAATAACATTTTTTCATTAAATTTAGGATTCAACAGTTATTGAATTGTATAATCATTTCCAATCAAACCACATGAATAAAAATTGAAGACTTGATGGACTAAATAGACGAAATCAATTCAAAACCCCAGAGCAAAATTGTAAGTTGAAAAAACTAAAACTCATATTATACCTTGGTCAGGAACAGTGGAGGGATCAGCTGGAACAATCGCATAATTCTCGAGCCCAGAAATTATCGGTGCACCAACAACAGGGGAAAGCTTGACAATCAAACTAGTACTACTCAAATTCTTCACTGTATAATGCAAGCTATAAGCAGAAAAACTCCCAACTTCACTGAAGATATCAACTCTACTCACATTCTTGTCATTTACCAACACATCAAACACTCTCTGCCCCGATTTCGTCACACCCGAATCAATCTCTGCAAAATGAAACCACACCAAGTAATCCATCTTCGCATCCACCGGCATTTCGTACTCCAATTCACCATTTCCAATCACCGTCACCGCCGATTGGTACAATTTCATCGGAAAATAGTTCGGACTCTGATCCGTATTGTTGACATTCTTCACCACTGACACGCGCTTGACTCCAACCGAGTTCCGAGACCGAAATCCGGCATCGGACTGCCAGGATCGGCCGAACAAATCGATGTCGTTGTTGAACCCTGGCCCCCACCGGCCCGAGCCGAAACTCAACCGACCGTAGTTCACTAAAACCGAGTCGTTTCCGATCGAGGCCGCATCGTACGAGTCCGGATCGATCTGGACGAGCTCGAGCGAACCAATCACCGGCGAGTCAGTGGCAATGCTGTAAAAACAGACATCGGCTTCGCCGTCGGAGATGAAGGCGAAGAGATCGGAGTAAGCGCCGGAGCGAGAAATGTCCTCCGGCCAGGGCCATCGCCAGCTGAAAACTAGGGTTCCTTCGACGGACATGTCGAAGCTCGGAGCTCGGGCCTTGCCGTCGTAGTTGTCGTAGACGGTGAAGGTGCGGAGGTAGAACCGGCCGGTCCGGACCGGGATGACGTAGCAGTTTTTCTTGCCGGAGGCGATGGGGAAGAACCGGAGGGTCTTTTCCTGGGGGTTTTGGAAGAGGAGGGGTTCCGAGACGAGGCCGGTCGAACCGGCCGTGTAGAACCGGTCGGAGAGCCATGTGGTGTTGAATTTGTCGGTCGAGTTCGTCGGACCGCCGCAGTCTATGTAATAAGCAGTGTCTGCCAAAAATAAGAGAAAAAAAAAAAAAAAAAAAAAAAAGAAACAGTTAGTGACAGTTAAAAAGTTAGTTAAGGAGAGATATGGAATAGAGATAGAGATAATGTGTGTGTGTAGAGAGAGAGAGTGTGTGTGTGGAGAGGCTTACTGAAGGGGTAGGAGGAGGGGGAGGAGAGAGAAGAGGGGAAGAGGAGGAGGAGAGAGAGGGGGAGGAGGAGGAGGAGGAAGAGGAGAGACATGTTTTTTTGTTGGGAGTGGAGTGTTTGGTTGGTTTGTTTGTTTTGGACATAAAAGAGAGAGGGAAAAGATATGACTGAAACACTGAATTAAAATAAAAAACCAGAGTTCCATTCAAAAATTAAAAAAAAAATTAAAAACAAAGTGGGGTTAAGAGAGAGAGACAGAGAGGCGTGATTGGCGGGGGTGAGGGAGGGAAATAAACGAATTGATGATGACAGCTTGAGCTGATTTGCGCTTCGTTTGGTTTTTGGTTTCTCACGGGCAGCATGTTTGTTTTACTATTTTTTTCTTTTTCTTTTTTAGTGATTTTTTAAATATTTTAGTTAATTTTTTTAAGAAAATTATAAAAAAAAATCTTAGAGTTTGAAAATTATAACAAAATAAATTGTGAATTTTTAATTTTGTTAATTTAAGTTCTAATTTTTTAATTTATTTTTAATTTAAATCATTTATATATTTTTATTAAGTAAAACTGTTGAAAAATATAGATTTTAGTTATTACACTCAATGTAATTATTCAAAAAATGTTTAAAATATTCATCTTCATTTAGTTTAATAACTAGAAAATACTTTTTCGATAGTTTTACTTAAAAAAATTGATAGATGATTTAAATTAAAAATAAATCAAAATATTAAAATTTAAATTAATAAAATTAAAAACTCGAGATTTATTTTATTTCGAGGCTCAAACTTTGGATTTTTTTTTTGGTAGTTTTTTAGGATAAATTATAAATACACCCCTGAGGTTTGTTTAAAATACGAATTGTCCCTTGTGATTTTAAAAATTACAAATATCTCCTTGTCAGAATTTTTTATTTAACAGAATTAACTGAAAAAGTGAAATTTCTAACTGTTCACATATACAATAATAAAATTATCTGAATTATTAATTGAAATAAAATTTTAAAATTATTAAAAACTGTTAATTAACTTGATGATATATTAATAAAATGACCTATTTGTTATAAAGTTAGAAACCTTAGAAGGCATAATGTAATTTCTAAAATCACATAGAATAATTTGTAATTTAAGTAAATCTCAAGGGATGCGTTTGTAATTTATCCTTTTTTTATGTACTTAATTTGACAATCTAAAAAATAAATATTCGTGATCAAATCTAAAAAAAAAAATTTACAAAAATGTACGAATTTATTTTTATTTTTTGATTTTAGTGATTTTATAAAAAAAATATACAAATAAATTAATTTTTAAGTGTATCAAGTGCATCTAAAAATGAAGGTTATGTTCAATTTGATTTTCATAAATAGTTTCTGATTTTTTTTTTAAATTAGAAATTAATTTGACAAAAATAACCACTAAAAAAATATTTTTAAAATTTAAAAATTTAAAAAAAAATTCTAAAAGATAAATTTATATGAAAATTATGAGTTTTTTATTTTTAAGATTTTTCCTCACCAAATTAACTTCTTCTTCTTAGAAAAATATATTTGAAAACTGAAACCCAAACAAGGTGTTTCAATTTTATATAAATCTTTAATAAATTGTTTTGAATTTTTTATTTTATATTATCATAATAAGCTATGTTTTAAATATTAAAGATTTTATTATTATACATCACATTTATAAATAAAAAAGTTATAATTTTTGTTAATTTTTGTAACATTATTCATGAAAAAAAAATTATTCAATGCTTTTAATATGAGTGCCAATCATAAGCCTCATATCTCCTATTATATGTTGATTTTCTTTTACTCTTTATCAGAACGTCAATAATTCAAATTTTGTCATGAAACAAGACTTTGAAAGAAAAATTAAATGTACCAAAAAAGCAGATAATTTAAAGGATTTAACATTTTATGAATGAGGATCAGAGCAAAGTCACATAAATGTGATTAATCTGAATGCTAGTGCGAGATTACGAATTCGACTATTCATTTTAATTTTTATTTTGGGATCTGTTGCATACATTATAAAGTTTATATAAAATTATAATTTAATATGTAATTATTAATTGTATATTATGAATAATAAAAAAAAGTAGGTGATGATGGTACCAAATAATTTGTGAAATTTATGACTTAATGGTACTTGAGCAGGAATTAATAACCAGTGAGTATATATTTGGTGGAATGGGTGGCTAAACTAAAATTTGTACAAATCATTAATTAGTTGGTATTAGTTGGTATTATTACTACCATTTTAGAGGATCTTCTTCAAATTTGTACAAATCATTAATTAGTTGGTATTAGCTAGTATTATTACTACCAATTCAATGGAGATTTTTATTTTATTTTATAATATTGTCACACATTATCAAAATTTAAAATCAACAATTTATGCATGTTCTTATAAGTCTTATAACTAGGGGTGTGCGCGGTGCGGGTCGGTGCGGTTTGGAAGAAAAATAGAAACCGGCGGATTGATAAAAGTGTCACTAGAATTTGTCATTTTTCTTACAAAAAACCGGCGGTTCGATTGACAAATAATAACGAATTTGCCTTGGCGGTGCGGTTCGGTGCGGTTTTGGCGGTTTCGGCGGTATTGGCGGTATTATGCACACCCCTAAATA